ACCCTTGAGAGAAAATCTTCTATCTATTGTTAACAGTCTGTTTGCCACCTTTGGTGGTCAACTAACTGCTTAACATCCTATTCATCTTGTTGACTGTTCCTCATCTTGGAGATTGAGACTTGAAGAAAAGCCCTGAAAGATTGAAGATAGAGACCTTGCTTGAAGGCTGTGATGATGATAACTGATGCTTGTTTGAAGCTTGAAGATGGTTGAAGATGACTTGAAGACAGAGGTTGATGAAGATTGCTATTTGCTGTGTATTTTTGCTGTTTATAATTTTTTGATGTATTGTTTAAATTTCCCTGACTGTATTGCTTGCTGTTTAACCTGTTAGGTTGAAAGTGAACCTTGTTCACTTTCGTCTGTTGTTTTCTAGGTTCGAGGTTGAGTGGGACTCCCTTGCCTCGCTTGTATTGCTGCATCCATGCATTTTACTGCTTTATTGTATATATGCTATCGTTTCTGTTTCCGTTTATCCCTTAGGATCTCTGTTTCTCTCTGCGCAAGAGAGGAGCATGATAGACATTAGGTCTTAACCCATGCATGATAACATTAGGTCAGTTTGATTCCCTTCGCAACCATAGGATAGAGTTCTGTCTCTTCTCATCTTAAAACAAATAGAAAAACACAGTAATATTTCAAACACAATAAAAGACACTTCTTCCGTAAAAGAATGTGAACTCATCAAAACGTCATTTTTGTCCGCTTGGACCAATAATCAGAAAAACCCTTTTTCAGAAGGAATAAAAACAATCAAAACAGACTTGTGTCGTACGTGGCCCGAACTACGTTTGCTCTGATCTTTCATGCTGTATGAAAGTACGTAGGCATAGGATGCGATATCCTAGCGAGCAACCTTCCCCTCCTTTCCCGTAGGTAGGCGAACTACGTTGACTCTGATTTCTCGTTCCAGACGGGAATACGTAGGCATAAAGTGCGATACTTTGCCGAGTCATTTTCTTTTCTTTTAACCCCTGACCTGTAGAATAGATAGAATAACAATCCGTACCAGAAAACAAGCGTGGATCTCGTCGAGTACGACGGACGTGAGGGGTGCTAATACCTTCCCCTTGCGTAACCGACTCCCGAATCCAGGATTTGGTTGCGATGACCATTCCTTTCCCCGTTTTGCGGTAGGTTTACCTCGAGCGTTCCCTTTCCCTCCGTTGGGATAAATAACGCACGGTGGCGACTCTTCTGTTCAGCCGGCGCCGATTTTCGCAGTAGCGACATATGTCATCATCCCGGACACAACCAAAAATATTGTCCCAATGTCGGAGGCACATCTGCTTCATGATTTAGCTTATCGTTTCATTTGTTGTAACCAAATATTTTCATATACTGATGAGTCTTTGTTACAACGGTCTTAACAACAAACAACACTAACAACACGCAACACATATTAATTTCATAAAACATAAAACATTAACTAGGTGATTACAACAATCAAACTAATTTCATTCGGTCCAAACATGACTTCCCTCGCATCTTTGTCGGTCTTAACACGAACTCATCCACGCAGCCGATCAAGTCTCTCGATACTAAAGATTTTTCCCCTTCACCAATGTCTCATTCCAACCACTGATTCAGCTCCCTCTTAAGTTGATTGAAACTTTGTATGTTCCAAAATAGCATGTCCATTGGAGGCTTCTCTCTCGAATAGACGACTTTTCTTCACCGGCGACGATACATGTTATCAGCAGAACAAAGATATCAAATGGGATGTGGAAGTAAATGATCAGAACACCTCTATTTATAAATAAAAAATCATTCTAAGTCTCCAAATGAATTGGCGACACCCTTTTAAGTCTATAACTAAGTCGCCAATTGGATTAGAGACTGCATGAGGTGTCTCCAATCTAATTGGTGACACCCTTATATCATTAACAAAGGGTCGCCAATTGGAATAACACTCTTGGATAAACCAAAGCCCTAACTAAGGTAATTTGAGAATATTTTTAAAAAGTGAGGTATTTTGAAAAAAAATTTGAAAAATTAAATTATTTAGGTAAATAATAATAATAATAATAATAATAATAATAATAATATCATTTTTAAAATTAATATACATACATATTTATATAATAATATAAATTAATATATAAAGATATACTATATGTGTGCGCAAGTGGGTATTGAGATACTGGTATTCACGTATATGTTTATGTAATAATAGGAAAAGGTTTTAACTTTTAAGCACTTTGAGAATTCAAGCAAAAACCAACTTGAACCAGGACAAACAAACTTCCCTCTTAAAGTCATTCAACACTCATAGTTGTTACGTTTTCACCTAAGACTCAACAAACGCATTATAACCATGGAACCCTTTATTTGCAAGATATTCACATCTATGGTTGAGATTTTACTACACTGTGCACACTCTGTACTCACTTTTAAAATAAATAGTAAAAATTTAAAAATACCACCTAATAATCAATAAATGAAATATATTACATTATCTAATCCATTGCATTGACTAATAAGCTCTCTCTATCGTAATTGTGAAAATCGAATTGTGATTCTCTTATCAAATTTAACATTAATCACCACTGAAACAATTAACGAAAGATACTTATTTTTAAAAATGATCATAACTATATATTATTACTAAATATACAAAAAATACATCAAAAATCCAAAAACATTTGTACGAGATAGTTAAACTTTCTTTCAATTTAATTGAGATTTTTAGCAACTCGGTTTTGTGCGCGCAACAGTATTAAACTCTCTTAAGAGATAATTATGTCACACATTATAGTCATTCTTTATTAAAAAAAGAAAATAGTCTTCACAATTAGACACATAAAATATTTAATTTCTATAAATAAATAAAGAAAGTACATGAAGAAAAATTAGGGGCCCATTTGATCATTTTTCCAACGCTCTTGTGTCATGTTCACGGGTTATTTCCCTTTGAATTTAAATTATAATATTGCAATCTACCTACCACAATAGCACAAATTCCCAATATATTTTCAACCATTAATCATCATTATTCATTACATTAGTATGAGTTATGGGCCTCTAATCAAAAAGGGTTTCATCATTCATGTACCTTAAAACGGAGGGTGTTTATTTCCTTTTCATAATTATGACATATGTTTCTAATTTCTAATTTTCCAAATTTTCATCCTAAAACAAAGTAATACTTGAAATAGATCTTGAAAGAGAATTGTTGAAAAAGTTGCCACAACCACAAAAACCGGTAAATGGCTTAATAACAGTTCAATCAACTTCGTAATTGTTTTCCTTAAAAAAAATATTGGAATTAGTTGTGACATAACCCTTTTCTCAAACAGTGCCATGTGGAGAGATTAACGTTAACCTCTCCGAATATCTCTCTCTAAAAACCTTGTTTGTTCTTCCTACCAACAACAACTGATTCAGTATCAAAGATTTCCTCCGCAAAGGTTGTTCTTTTTTCCTAACCGTTAAACCCCTCTTGTTTCTTTTACAACAAAAACAAAACCACATTCACTATTTGTAACCCGTGTTCACATTTTTTGTCTTTCACTTTCATTTTCTTGTAATCTTATCAAACTCTCAAATGGGACAAGAATCAGATTCCAAAGCCAAGTTGGTCTTAGAGATTTGTTCCATTTCAACTCGTTCTGCAACATGTGTTCATACCATTCTTTCAAACCCAAACAAAACAACTTTCATTGACTGGTATTGCATTCTTGGAGTAAGTTCTTTCAAAATTTTCTTTTTGGTTCTTTCTCGTTGATAAATATATCTTAATATTGGGTTCTCATAGGTGGAAGAAAATGCAGGGGTGAATGCCATTCGCAAGAGATACCGTAAATTGGGTAGGCTTAACTGGTTTTGGTTTGGGTTTTAGTATTGTATGAACAATGAGAAAGAAATTCTTATTTGGTTTTTGTATGGGTTTTAGTATTGTATGAACAATGAGAAAGAAATTCTTATTTGGTTTTTGTATGTAGCTTTGCAGCTTCACCCAGATAAGAACAAACATCCAAAAGCTGAAATTGCCTTCAAGCTTGTTTCTGAGGCAAATGCATGTCTAACTAATGCAGCAAAGAGAGAAGCTTTTGATTTTGCAAGGTACAAGCATTTCTGCATTGAATGCAAGAAAATTCCATATACAACAGACAATGTTTCTGGAAACTCCAATGGTTCAAGTTTCAAGGCATGGAATATTATCACAAGGTCAAGATCTTTAAAGTTTTGGAGAAATATTAGGGATATTAGAGAGAGATTTAAGGAGGAAGCTAATGTGATTGAGAATTGTTTGAGAGTGAATTCAATGTCAAGGACAGAATCTCCACTGTACAATCCGGATAGTTATCTAGATAGGAGCAAGTCACAGAATAGATTTGATAAAGATACCCCTATTTTCAATCCTTCAGATTACTCATACCAAGATTATCCTCATATGAGAGGCCATGTTAACAAGAATTCTTCCACATTTTGGTATTTACAGACAAATAGTATGCTTCACAATGAAAAGAGAGGACCGCGGCTTAGCTCCCCTGTTTTTGAAGTCAAAAGTAGGAGTATGTTTACAAACCAATTTGCTTTTGTACCAACAAGATATTAGCTTTTCAACATTTAATTAAAGCAGTATGAGTTTGCATTATCTTCTTTAAAAGATTAATTACCTTTCATATTGAGTTTGTCATGATACATGAAACTGTTTAAATCTCTTAGAGTAGAAGCAGAATTGATTAATTTAAATATGGGCTAATGTAGCAAGAAAAAATAAATGAAAAAGATAAATAATATAAAATGTGAAATTGCTGCAATTTAAAATGGACAAAATTTGATCACTACTTAAGGTGATGTCAATGTAACTGATAAGTTTTTTTAGGTTTGTCAAAATTACAATGAAAGCAGCTTTCTTGATAACATTAGTTTTATGCCTTTTAACAAATTTTCTAAAATAAACCCATTACAGCCTCCATAGAATAACAAGGCATTTGCTACTGATTCTCTCCTTTTGAGATATAGTTTCTTTCTCCATGGAGCATAGATGAAAATTATTGGCTTGCTTGTTCTTTAGACTTTGGGTTCTTGAGAGTTCCATTATCAATCAAAGGCTGCAACTCTTTTTTTGCAAGCTTTTGTACCTTTGAGTCTGATGATTCCAAAAAAGCAAGGATAATCTTACAACTGCAATCACAATGCCAAGAAAAGGAAAAACATGAGAAATTGGTCTTGCGCACCCTAATTCCATTAGAGGACAGGATAGTATTATATGAGCAAATGAGACCTACCTATGACCATGGGCCCATAACTCAGTTTTCCCTTTTAAAGCTTCCTCCCATAAGACGGAAGCAAAGTCAGGGCAATCCAAAATTAGTTTTCTGATGGTCCTACTTGAAAAGAAATTTTCAAAGACATGCTCCTCTTGGGAATCTTCTGACTTAGGCACTCCTGCAAGAGATGCTATTGCTTTGTGGAGAGAATTAATCTTATCATCCAAAGTTGGATGCAGTATGCCTCCAAAACCCCCTGTTGCAACCTGTATGTGCCATTTATTTTATCAAAGAGGCAATGCTTGGTAACAAAATGAGTTTGCGAAATTTAAATATCAGTCTTTATTACCTCATATATGACCTCTTTGCCAAAATTTGACCGTATCAGTTCTCCTACATTCTCAATGCATATATCAAGAAGACTCTGTATAGAAAATTACAACCAGACATTACTTTCAGTGCAAATTTACAATTCAGAAGTTATTGGCCTGGTCTCAGGTTTGTAAATGAACAAAATCAATATAATTAAGTGACCAAAAAAAGGTTATGTAAACAACCTTTCCCAAAAAAATATATAGAGGAATACATCACAGTATAACACACAAGTAAAACATGGGAGGATAATTATATTATTAGAAGGAAAGCTAAAGCAGCCCAACCTCTGCAAGTCCACTGTTGATCAATAGCTCTTGCCTTCTGACAAATGGGTCTTTCTTTCCACTCTCAGCTAGGTCAGTATCATCCTCAGAAGTTTTATCTTCATTAACTTCGGGCACTTTCACTTCTATGTCTTCCTTGGAATCATTGTCATCAATTGAAACCTTGGAATTTTCTGTCTGTGAGCTTGCTTCTGACTGATCCTGACAGCAATCAAAATGAATGGAGTGAACAATGAGTTGCTTAAGTACAAAAAGGCGGAAAAGATGGGAACAAACGAAACCTTGAGAGAAAGAGAAGGTATAGATGAATTCATAGATGCGAGTTCATCGGGACTGAAATAACGTGAACAATTGGGATGCAGTAGTTGGAGTAAAGGACGTCTTCCATTCTGAAAATCCACAAGTTAGAATTATATGCATAAAAACACCATAAACATCATAAGAACATAAATTAAATAGCCTTTATGCATGGTTTATTGATGGGATTGAAGAAGCTAGGGCAGGATAGCTTAAAAATTACTGAAAAATGCTAACTGTTCAGCTGCATATAAAAGGTTTCAAGAATATTATTATTATTATTTGATGAAAACTACAGTATATATTGGCTTCTCTTTTATAATGCTTGTAAATATCATATGAGAAGTATAAAAAAGAAACCTTATCCAAAACAAGCTCCTTCAGAATTGATTGAAGCTCACGAATGATAACCTGTAATGAGAATATTTTAAAAGCTTAATATGAAACAAAAGTTTCATTATAGAGCAACAATTACCATTCAATTGATAGATATCAAAATCAAACGCACCTTTGTTATCAGTTTTGTGTCATCAACAACTGAAAGGATGGAAACCAGCACCTAAGAATTTAAGTGAACAATATTCAAATTTTAAGTTCTGAATGAAAGGTAAGTTGTGAGGAATTAGAATTTGGGGGTAATGATTCCCTTTCACATATAATGGGAGTTCGTTGATTATTTTATAATCTGTAACACATTAATTATAAACAAGTAGAGAAAGAATAGAGTAGCAAGTGGAGACTACATATGGAAAGCAAGAAACTACTGAGTCAATAGACTTGCCACGAATGACTCGGGGAACAATGGAAGCATAAAAATATAGATATGTTAGGCAAGCGCATGTAAGCCTTAGTGTTTTGTAAACACAAATATTTCACAACTATTTTCAAATTTATTAAGCCTTTTGAGTGTGCCAAATATGACCTAGTTCCACAAACCCGAACTTTTTATCATTATGTATGCCTATTATGCAAGAATTAGACTTTGATACCAATAATGAAAAGAATAACTAAACATAGATAAGCTGAGCAACAAAATATAGCAAGAATCAAAGCACTAACCATACACCCATGTTGATGAAAAGCCGTTTTTCCTACATGCCCTTTCAATCCTTTAATGATCTTCTTTCTTTCCTAAAAAGAGAATATGAAGTAGAAGGATGAATTATGTCAGATTCAATAATCAGGAGTACTTAACACATTACTATTAAAAAAATTAATTACTAAAGAAACCTTGGCATTCCCATATTTCAGACAAAGTACTCCAATTTTGGCTCCATCCTTGGTACCAATCATTCTGACAAGAAGTGGACTTGACAACTGTTGGAGGATATCTGTGACAGAGGACTTTAAAAAAAACTCAATTTAGATAACAAAAAGCTATTGCCATAATCAAATTACTTAGCAGTAACAAGAACCACAACAGATTGTTGGGGGAAGGGGAAAGAAGATCTAGAAATTGTAGGTGGAAGGGGGAGACAGAGAGAGACAGATACCTTATCAGCAATGCTAAAGTATTCCAGTAAGACTCTGTGTAAGATAGAATGATCAACTATCCCTTTCTCTAAAATTGGCTGAATCACGGAAGACATATGACGTGAAACTGCACCTTTTTGTAGACCCAACTTGGACATTACATCTAGTAATCTGACATACAATTATAAGCTAAGTAAAAATACTCCAGAAAGAGGAAATAACATAAAGCATTGTGATGAATTCCATCCAATCGCGACAAACAAAACTAAGATATTAAGTAGGATCAGTTGGGGAAGAGGAGCAATTATTGCTAACAAAATTAGGAGACTGCTTTATAGATAAAATTAAATAATTCAACTTGTTTGTTTTCTAAGTAATATTAATTATTCTTAATTTTAATTATCAAACTGTTTAAAGCCATAGTATGAAGGTATATTCTTCGGTGTTCTTGCGTATAAAGTAGTTATATACAGACGACATAGGAAACCTCTAGTTAAAATTGCTTCTGCCTTATATGCAGGTCTCAATGAAATAAAAATAAAAAAAGTTGGAACAGGTGTTTCAACTCTCCTCATGGAAGTTTGGTGAGGTTGAGTATATCTTTATATTACCCACACATTCACAAACTCTCCACCAGAACAGCAATCAACTCTAAATTCCAGCAACGATTTATATCGTGTATAAAATGTGGCGCCTAGAAGAGATATAGACAAGCAACAATGTCCCAAATGCTTAATGTAACTCCTAACAGCAGAATCTTTACCTGGTCTCCTTCGCCGAGACTAAGTCCTTAAACAACTGGAGCTCTGTGGAATATAATTCCAAAAGCAGCTCTTGTTTTTGTGCGGCACTTGCTAAGTCATATGCATGCTCAACAACTGCATAAGATGTAGATATACACAACTTAATTAAATGCCATCATGTCGGCTAAATACTGAAATATTTGAATTATTGACAATGACAATTAGTATTGTTGGTGCATGAAAAACAGTAGAAATGCGGAAAGAAAGCAAAAACAAATTTTGAATCCCCTCTATCTCTCTTCCTTGTTGTTATAAAGTTCCAAAACAAGTGAAAAGCTTTGACCTGGTAAGTTTTTGAAAACTCTGATAAATAACTGAAGCAAATCATGAACACCTGCCAAATATTGCTCAAACCTATGTTACATACCAACGGATCCAACCATGTGGCGAAGAAGAGGAGCAACATGACCACGAAGTGTGGAGATAAAGCCTGCCAGTTGTTTCTTCGAGGCTGAAAATTGGGGATATCCAATTAGAAGAAAGTGTCACACTGATATTTCACACACACACACACACACAATGTTATACAAACACATATTTCACGCGGACCATTACCATTGTCAAGCATTTTCTTTACTAAGTGAACTGCATATGCATTGTATGCTAGAGTTAGAAAATGAGGACGTAGCTCTTCAAATACTTCATCTCTTTCAGCTTGTGAACAATGTTTGACACAAGTCTTTCAATTCAAACACAAACAAAAGCCAAATATTAAAACTGCAATATTTACACTTAAAGGATGCGAAAATGAAAAATAAATTTTGAAAAAGTATACCTGAAGGACACGAGAAGTAATGTGAGACCCTGTAATCTCATGAATCTTCCCCTTCATTTTTGTTAGAGCTTCTGTCACCAACCTACCATTAAATTAAAGTCCATAGTAAATAAAAAATTAATACAAACAGAAGAGAAAAATAAAAAAGAAATATATTTCCTTCATATCTTTCTGCAGAGTAACATACTTAGATCTGTCTGCTTTCGCAATCTCGTGACGCCTCATCTTTTCCCATAGTCGTGCAAGATCCTAATTACAATTTGGTATTGAATTAACCAAAATTTCAATTAATATGCAACACAGTAAAGGCTTCAATTCAATTAATTAATAAAAATAACAACAAATTTAACAAATAGTGGTGGTATACATAGATACAAAAACGAGAACACTAACTTGTTCAAGAGTATAATGGCGTCTTCTCTTCTTTTTTCTAGCATCTGCAAGTTCCTGAAACATCAAAACAACGAAACAATCAAAATCCGAGTTAATCGATTCAGAAAAAGTGACTTCGAGATTGGGAAATTGTGAAATTGCGAAAATCAGTGAGAGAAATTAACCTTGGCATTGATTCGACGTTCTCGGCCGGTAAGGGGAACTGTCTTCTTCTCTTTATCGTCGGAGTGTGGTTTGGGCTTTTTTGAGGGAACGAACTTGGTAACCTTTGGCTTGGAAGGGGATTTGTGAGATTCAGTGTTGATTCGCTTTCTCTTTTTGGTGTCTGCAAGTTGCTCCTTCTTCGGCGCCATTGCTGAGTGAGGCTCTGAGGTTACGACTGGTTTAGAGGAGAAACTTGGGTTTAGTATTGCTACTAGGGTTTTTGCAAATTCCTTCGATTTTCCCCCAAATAATTGCTAATATTTTTATTTTATTTTTTTATAAAATTTGCTAAGAATTTTTGTGCTAGTAAAGGAAAATCAAATAATTTTTTTTTCATGAAAAGTAGTTTTTTTTTACAAGATAATGTATTATTAAAATAAAATTATGTCTCACTAAAGCAGTCTGGTTGGTAATTTGGTAGAAATATGATATGCAAGAAAATTTGATTATTAGGATACTCGATAAACAAATTAGTCAAAAGCACCTTTTAAATTTGTGTTTGACTTTTTTTTTTTAAGTTTATGTTGAGTTGAGTTGAGTTAATTCATTCCACAAATTTCATATAACATTTGGTAAAGAAAATTATAAGTGTTTTTTTTTTTTTATGTTTTGAATGTAGTTGTTTTCGTAATCTCTCGTCTTTCTTTTTTCTTCAATTAAATATATTAAACTTTGACAATATAAGAGTATTTCGACTTTGACAAAACAAATGTTGATTGCAAACGCACAACCACTATCAAAGTAATATAAAATGTATTGTTCCATTTAGAGACATTTGTAGTACCAAATTTCATTATTTTAATGTTTAGCTAAGATTATGATTATTTTCGATTGAGGGCTATTTTTGCTTGATCTTTTAAACAATTTACGAAAGGAGATTTAGAACTATGAATTGTATCATAAACTTGCTCACGCTAGTTCTTAGTTTAGGTTAATTATGAGAAATCTATCTCGTAGAAACGAATAGAAAATAGTGATAATATCTACTTAAGTCAGCGCATTATCTCGTCTTAAACCAACGAGTTACCTAATTTCGTTAGCGTTGTTTGTTGGGGTAAGTTCTGATTGTCAATCAGTATTGGTTGTATATGTTTTTGTATCATGACTTTGATATATATTATTTGTTTTATATATATATATATATATATATATATATATATATATATATATATATATATATATATATATATATATATATATATATATATATATATATATATATATATATATATATATATATATATATATATATATATATATATATATATATATATATATATATATATATATATATATATATTAAATATTGTATTTATTGTGCTACTTGTATATGACATAATAGAGTCCTTAAAATAATAGTATATTTAATGATATATTAAGTATGATTTAATCGTGAAACTTCATTAAATATAAGAACGTTATTCTTAAAGTATCAATAGTCAAACTTTACTTTTAAAATAGAACAACAATAATACATATAAACTATTATGTGAGTAGACTGATGATTGTATCTCACAAGTCATGGATATGAGATATAGTCTTCATGTAGGTATAAATATTATGAGTAATATTTATGTTTGATTGACCCACCATGAGAATACTACATAGTTTGTTATGTAAGTGTCATAAGTTATTCTCATAGTAATAGTGAGGAGGAGGAGAAGGGGGGTGTACCTGCAAGACACTCCGATGCCAAAGTAAGAATTTGGGCAGAGTGGGAGCAAAGTACAGAAAAGTGGGTAGGAAGTGTGTTACCTGACCCTCTTGTGAAATAGGGTATTTATAGAGAGACCCCAGCGCTGGGCCAACGGTCACTTGTGTTGGGCTGGATGGCTAGGCCCAACCCAGGTGACTGTTAGGGCTTACGTGGCGTAGTGAAGACCAGGACGTGGTCTTCGCCCTAGTCCAACTGTCCCGTGGTCTTCGAAAAGTGGGTTTGACCCACTCTTTCGGAGGTGGGCAGTTGGGGGATGACGTGTCCCCGCGGAGGGGAACACGTGGAGAACGTGCACAGGGCACGTTGTTCTCCCCGCGGAGGGGAGCTAGCGAGGTTCTTCGTAAGTACGTTGTTTTCCCTGCGGAGGAGAGCACACGATGACGTGGGAGAGCCATAGGGTCTTGCTCGACGGCATGGGGAATACCGCCCGCGGAGGGCGGTGCTTGGCTGTGCGGGTGAGTCACTTGCCTGGCTGGTTCTTCCTTGCGGAGAGACCTTTCCAGGGGGTCGGGTATCCCGTGCCCGACGTGGTACCGGACTGGGTGGACCTGGTGGGATATTATTGGGCTGGGCCGGCATAGTCTAACCCGGGGCCCAGGCCAGAACAGGAGCCCCCCAAGTCGTTGCTCCGAGGATGGGAGTGAGGACTTGATGACGTCATTACGGGGAAGTGGACTGATCTGGGGGCAGACTCCCCTGGGCGACGACGCGTGTTCTCCATCGTCGATTGTCCGGGCTCGAAGAAGGGTATTGGCAGGGAGAGGTGAAGAGACGCGTTTGTTTGCTTCCGCCACGTGTCGCGTTCTGGGTGGCTGCTAGGGCGGCTGCCCTAGGGTACTCAAGTGTCTAGCGACGCTTCGAGTCCCGTGCAGGGGTATAAGTGAGCGAGCCCCTGCTCATTTCTCACTTTTCGCCCTCTTGTTCTCAAGTTTCCAGCCTGCTGTCTTGCCGTCGTCTGATATCTTCGCTGTCATCGTCGCCGCGTTCTCCGTCGTTGATTTTATCGCAGTAAGTTTTCTTTTTCTTTTCTCTTGCTTTTCTTGTTTGTTTCTTGACCGTGACCGGGGCTGTTTGAATGCCCCGAGGAGCAGCGAAAATCTCTGTCGTTCTCGAGGTTTTTTTTTAAGGTTTTTGTTATGAATGTACCGGGGAGAGACGCTAGTTCCGATGAGTGCCCCGGGGATGGTAGCTTTTTCTGATGAATGCCCCGGGGAAGGATTCTTTATTCCGATGAATGTCCCGGGGAGCGACGTTTATTCCGACGGACGCCTCCGAGGTGGGTTTACAGTTTGGGTCATACTGAACCGGGGAGGTCGTAGGTTAGGGCAGACCCACCGGGGATGATGCTCGGGGAGTCCTCGTCACCCTTTCACTTGATTTGCGGTGGAAGGGTGAATTTGATCTCTGTCATCGAATTCACTGTTACCTTCTGCTTTTCAGGTGTTTAATGACTACGCTCGTTTTGGGCACAATGGTCGAGGATAATGAGCCAGACGTCCCCTATTTTGATGAGCGCGTCGTCCCGATCGGAGACTGGGTGGCCGAGGAGCCCCTCACCACGCCCTCCTGCTTTGCTTCTGATCCTACGGGGGCCTACGCCACCGTGGAAGACCGGGAAGAGGGGGATCCTCAAAATTGGCAAGTCTACCGCCCCTGGCCAGGTCATCGGATCTGCTCGAAATACGGGCGGATGCGCTTTCCGATGTACGAGTTTTAGTTCAAAGGGGCTAGGCTCAGGTTGCCTTTTTCGGACTTCCATCTGGGCCTCTTCAACTGGCTGAGGTTGGCCCCGTCGCAACTGCACCCTAATGCCTTGGCTTTTATTCGGGCCTTCGAGCTCATGTACCAATATCTCCAGGTCGGCGTCACGCTGCCGCTGTTCTTTCGTATTTTCCATCTGCAGCGACAGTCGGTGGGTGGCCGGCATGGCTGGGTGTCATTCAAGCAGCCGGACAGACTTTTTAGGACGTACATGGATTCCGTCCGAGACTTCAAAAGTCGCTTTTTCGTGGTCAGCCCTATCACGCACGAAGGGGTCTGCTCTTTATATTCGGAAGGGGAGAGGATAGTGGATGGTCGTCGCGAGGCTGTCATGCTGCCCCGGGTGCACGTGGAGTGGTCCCTGGACCATTATTCTCGGGGAACAGGTGGGTATATCGTGCGGGCGAGGATGCTTGATAAGGAGGATATGGCCAGCTACATGAAGATAGTTTCTTTCGTGCGAAACTTACTGCCATCGAAGCTGGTCACCCCTGACGGCCAGTATATCCTCGACAGTTACGGAAACATTTGGGAGACGGCGAGGCTGATCAACACAAAGGCCCTGCTCGAGTGTGCCTCGGAGGAGGATGTTCTGCGTTACCTAGGTGGTGGCCGCCTCGTTCCCTTTCGACCTGATATCCTCAGCTTTTTACTGACTAGTTTTTCTTTTGTCGTGCAGGGAATATGGCTTCTGTCGAGGAGCGGGTGAAGAAGTTGTGCATGTCAAGGGTCGCTGTTCCTCCTAAGACGCGGGTGGCTCAGTTGGTCGGGCAGTCTTCTGCAGAGCAAGATGGAAGGGGGTCGTCGGCGTCCCCGACCGGTAGCCAGTCGCCTACTTCCCAAGGGGTTCCTAAGAGAGCGAGAGTTCAGGAGGATACGCCCGTGGTCGATTTATCGGCGGAGTCTTCCAAGGAGGGTTACACCATCGCTCCTTGTCACTAGCATCCCGACTACTTCCATGGGGCTAGGTCGCCCAGCATTTCGGCGAGGGAGGTGAAGGCGATTCTGGGTGCTGACCGTGCTATGAGGAGGCAGGTTCTGACCGAGGATTTGGCCGCGTTGATGCAGACTTTCACTACGGTGATGGTCCTGAGCGAAGAGAGCTGCTCGGCCGTAGAATTGTCGAAGCTGCAAGGGGATCTCGCCTTCGCGCAGTCCCGCCTGAATAAGGCGGCCGAGGATTTGGAGGCAAGTCGAGGGAAGGTGACTCAGCTGACCGGAGAGCTGGAGAAGCTTCGTGGGGAGGTTGACCTCGAGCGCAAGAGACGTGATGGTGTTGAGGAGAAGCTGAAGGCTGCTGAGGAGGAGTTGTGGGCGTTGAAAGCTCGTGTGGCGGAGCTCGAGGGTGATCTCTTTCTTGGTGATGATGAGACTGACGACGACAGGTTGTTGGTTACCCGGGCGGACCTGCTCGCCAGGATACGCGTGCTGGAAGGGGATTGCCTGGATGGTTTTGCTGCAGGCTTCAACAACGTCGTTGCTCAGCTCAGGGTGGTGAACTCTGGTGTTACCTTTGTCGAGGATGGGATCGGCCCATTCCATGAGATAGTCAGCGGCTGGGTGGTAGATCCCAGCACCGAGGAGGCTGGGACCGTCGTCCCTGGCGTAGAGCCTGAAGCTGATGGCGAGGAGAGAGCTTAGATTGGTCTCGGGCCTGCGTGCCCATGTATT